GTGTGTGTTTTTGATACATTTATCCATGTTATACAGGCATATTCTACGACTGGTCTTATGTATGTTCTGTGAATATTTAATATGTTTCCTGATGAAGCTCCTTGGTTGTTGCCAGTCAGACTCCTTAGGTAACTCGCTCTTTTTTCCCTCAAATTCTGGTTTTTATACGATTGATATGTGGTATTCAGTTTAATTTTGAGTCAAATGTAATCCCTAAGAATTTTGCTGATGTTGCTACCTGCAAGAGAGTCTCCTCTAGATAGAACTGTGGTATTAATTTTAATTATCCACTTATTACAGTACAATTCTATTTCGTTTAGTAGTGGTAAAATGTTCATGTACATCGGTCTGTTAGTTTTCGAGATACGCGGGCGGAAGCACAGACAGACACGCGAAACTAACTGCAATATCTTCGTCCCCTCTCTGGGGTCGAGAGAAAAATTTCCTGATGAACTTTAATACATCAGTGAGTGGAATTGTTTTTAAACCGTATAACGAGATTTAAATAACACAGGCCTGCGAATTTAAGCTTTAACGGATTTTCCAAAACTGAGCTACGTAGATTTCGAAAATATAATTTTTTTATCTTTCACGTAAGGATTTTTTTACAAATCGGGAAGAAGAAAAAAACAACTCTTACTTAGATAAAATTATTATTTCGTTTACCACAATGAACATTTTCTATTGTTATGTTTGTTAGCAAAAAATACAAACAAACTGAAGAAAGGGGAAGAACATTGATGTCAAACAAATATACATCCTCATTCATCGCGATTTTTTTTTTTATGAGATCTACGTCTTTCAGTCTTAAAACTGTGTGTTGTGGTCTTTCTTTAATGTATTGCGTTACGACGTTTTGGGAAAAATCTGTACGTGATGGATGAAAATGGATATCATTTTCGGATTCAACGTACAGGAATTACTGTAGAACATGTAAAAATTTCAAGACAATAAAACCATCGCAGGTCCGTGTTATCAGAGTACAAAATGTGAACAAACCCCAAGAGACGCGATAGTACTGTGTCCGCATGATCTATCGCTACTAGCTCTCCTGGCGTCAGTTTATTATAAATCCATTACCACACATAAATTTTGCTTCCAGCATTTAAAAGCGCTTGTTCAGCGGAACCGCATTTTCTCCACGAACACTTTTCAAAACATCATGTAAGATGATATCTTTCATATCAAAGTTCATGCTTGTGGCGATACGTTAACCTTTCTGAATGCAAATATAATCCAAAATACTTTAGGTGTGAAAAAAATGTGCGGTCAAAAAAGGATTGAGCGTGCGATTTAAAGGAATGAAATCAAAATTGGCGGCCAAACTGGGAACATTGATTAGAATTTTTACAGTAAATATTCATTCATTAGTTAGTTAGACCACGTTTTTTGTTCAACTTTGGGCAATACACACCAACAAACCACAGCAAGTAAGAAAGTGATGCTCGATAATAACCAACATTAGCATTGCTATCGTAACCATATTATTTGGAACAGACCTTTTCTTTACGGAACCAACCAGATTCTTTAAAATATATGGTGGTAATTTTCCTCTCTAAAACAGTGTTAATAACTTCCTTTATAGCAACGCCGTGGAATCTTGATTAAGAGTTTCTTGTCATCACCGCATGCACTCGGTACAGTCGTATCAAGCATCATTATTTACGTCAATTGTTTAAGCTAATATCACGTGACGATAAACGCTCTTTAATTAGGAGAATTTCATAAAATTTAGCAAATTTATGCTTAAAAGTTACACATTGGGCTATCGGTGCTCTTCCCTCCACGGGTATCGAAACCCGGTTTCTAGTGTTGTAAGTCTGCAGATATACCGCTGTGCCACTGGGAGGCTTGTGCTTAAAAGTTGGCAATGAATAATAACAGTCCACCCGTACAATTCTTTTGAAAACATGAGCTAATCTAGTTTACTTGGCCTAACCAGTACTTGTGTATCTGCACGTCCTTTCACCCTATAGTTTTGATGCTCTAAATCAGCCGTCTTTAATCCGAATTAAAAAAAAAAAACTAAAACTATCCACTTTTGCTCCAAGATGAATTTGTAGTAAAAATGTTAGACCGATAGATCACGTGACTTTTTGTGTAGGCGTGTGCAAAAATTTTGGTCAAAACTGAGCGGTTATTGTTGAATAACTTTGTACATGAGGCTTATATTTAGACCAAATTTGACACCTACCTGTAGGCCGTAAAGATCTATCAGTATACCAAATTTGAAAAAAATCCATAAAAGTTAGTCATATTTTTCTATCAAACAAAGTTTCTGTACTTTTGGTGCGAAGAAGAAAAAAATATTTTGAATCAAAATTGGAGATTTTATATCTCGCGTATTTCTTAACGGATTATCTTGAAATTTGGTATGTGAAGTAAGAGTCCAGTAGACCACTTACACTGAAAATATGTGATAGTTTGGATTAACCAAAGTCCGAGCTACAGAAAGTGAAATATCGCTAAACTATCACTCCTGTTAATAAACACACACACGGTGTGTCCTACAGGTTGTTTTGGCCGCACGGCAAACTACCGTGTGTCTTGATATTCCTACATCAAGAGATGTTTTTATGTTCCTTTCACATGTAATCCACACGTACAAAACTTCACAAAATACAACACAGTTTAATATATAAACTTTATTCCAGCAGATCATAACATCAATTTCAGTTTCATGAATATACAAAACTCTCGTTCCAGCACAATTGGCTAAGCCTATTGAAAGGTGGTGATTTCATTAATTACATCAAATGCATAGATCTACAAAACCAGTCACCCAAAGGCTGGTCATCTAAAAAACTTGTGACGCCCAATGACCTCGAAATTAGAAGTGACATCACATTGAACTGTTAAGAACATTTATCTTTTCATTTTAATAAATTCACAGAAGCATCTTAACTTCAAATTTCGTTCAGCTTTAAAAGATATACGTATATAAAATATATATATATATATCTATTGTACAAGGTAACTGTGTATTACATAAGGGGTCAAATAATGGAGTACTTTTAAACGCTGAATGTGCACAATGACAATAAAACTAGGCCTTTTGGTATAAAACAAAGTAATTTTTGGGTACAGTATAACATTTTTTTAAAATTACACTGAATTAGACTCCATAAAAATACTCTGGATTAAATTACTGCCCCATAAAAATATAAATGGATTACATTACTACTTTATAAAATGTAACTGGTTCAGAATATTACTCGGTAAAATCACAAAAGATAACACTACTGCCACGTAGAACTACATCAGAGTTACTGTCCAATAAAAGAACGTTGGGTACTAACGTCAAACGAGTGAGAATTCAGTTTTTTAAAAAAAAGTTCAAGAGTGTGTATTTTGCTACACAAAAAACCACAATGAAATACATATTGTTCTGGCTATACTTCTAATACCAGCTAATGACCCCTTACATACTAAACAGTTTATACTGAAAGAAAAATAAATGTACCAGAAACAAAAGAAAAATAAGACAAAATCCCCCATAAAAGTGATTGACACCATAATTAATTTACCCTGATCCTTTACATAATTTCTTTATGCTACAACTTTAGGGAAAATGGCGTCAGTCTATTGTGATTAAAGAACCTCATCATAACATACACACACACACACACATTTACAAACTGGGAATTTTCTTTAGCCCAAAATTACATACCCGAATGTAACAGAGATAAAATTTTTATCAATTCTTAAACATGTATAAACAAAAATTAATAACATTTTTCTCATTCAACAGACAGGAGGTGCCTTTTCTGAAATTTATTGTTGCAATCATGCACTAAAAATAAAAATCGTCTGGAGAGTCCACATAATTCCTTCTTGTCCAAAAACAATACTACTTGACAAATAAAATGGCATATTTTAGGTTAATAAAATTTGTTGAAGCTTTAACTCATAAACAGGGAACAAAAACTAAACATTTCTTATTTATATGTTACTCAAGAAATACAGCTCATGTCAGTGTAAACTAAGAACCTTTTTAAAGAAATTTTTCACCTTCAAAAACTAAGGAAAAATGGTTCAAGCTCAGGAAAAAGCAAATAAATGGCCATCAACATAAATCTCAGTGTTATCAAAATGAAACTATTGAGAATGAAAAGCCACTCTTTAAATCTGTAGGCACACAGATGGAGATACCACAATCTCATCGACGAGGACCCCAAGCCACAGGTTTAGGAGCATCTCCAGAACCAAAGGTCGGGAATTCTTGTGTACTTGTGGTGTCAGGAGCATTCTGGGATTGTTCCCACGGTCCGCCCTTGATAATAATATCCTTTGCTTCACCCTTATTTTGAGTGAAATCTTCACCAGAAGATCGTGCAGTTGGCGACAGGTACTGAAGCATGAACTCATTCTCGGTTATATCTTGCAGCTTTAGAAAGATGTTGAATAAAAGGTGGTTTAAGTAATATTCACACAGAAAATACATGTAACTATATCTTTTCAAGAAACTAAAAAATAAAGTTGAAAAACTTTCCAGAATACATTTGACATACTTTAAAAGTTTAACTTACCGACTGATTGGAAAGTTTAACTTACCGACTGATTGGAAAGTTTAACTTACCGACTGATTGGAAAGGTGAATTTACCGACTGATTGGAAAGTTTAACTTACCGACTGATTGGAAAGTTTAACTTACCGACTGATTGGAAAGTTTAACTTACCGACTGATTGGAAAGTTTAACTTACCGACTGATTGGAAAGTTTAACTTACCGACTGATTGGAAAGGTGAATTTACCGACTGATTGGAAAGGTGAATTTACCGACTGATTGGAAAGGTGAATTTACCGACTGATTGGAAAGTTTAACTTACCGACTGATTGGAAAGGTGAATTTACCGACTGATTGGAAAGGTGAATTTACCGACTGATTGGAAAGGTGAATTTTCTATACAACTTTCCCTCCTTTCTACTGGATTATTTAAATAGTCAAATTGAAATTAATAGGATTTCAAAATTCAAATAATTGAAATAAACAAATGTCATACTGAAGGTCACTAAACGAGAGCTAATCCTAACAGCAGATAAAAAATATACACACATACTCAAATTAATGATGATTGATTAAATAGTAACATTAATAAACCTGATAAATGATTTAGAAAAATCAGTTACTATCAATATTAATATGAAAGCATAAAATGAAGCAATGAAAGGGGCACACAAACGTGTATATAATTTTTTTATATTTTTATCATTATATAAATTCTATTTGCTACTTTGCAAAATAATTACCAGCAGTATGTGGAAGCAGTGGTAAAAACAGATCATTCTTTCATCACATCAAGCTGAAAAGTCACTGGGAGTGAGCCTTGAGGGCTTGGTTTGGTTGTTGTTAAGCACAAAGCTACACAATGGGCTATCTGTGATGTGTCCACCACAAATATTGAAACCCGATTTTTTTGCCTGGTAACCTTGCAAACTTACCAATGAGAAATGAATGTAGAAGGCATTTTAATACATGTTCTGTAATCCTAGTTTGACTGTCTGAATGAGTCAAAATATAAGTGAAGATAGGACATGGCAACACACCACCCAACAGTAGAATTCTTGTTCTAATACAATCTTCACAGTGCTTTCTTTCATCGGAATAAACTCCTCTATTTGAGATATAAAGACCAGCTGAATTTTTTTTCATTAAAATTGTGTTGCAAAAAACAAGTTTATACTACTCAAGTTACTTGTTTTGTCTTCTTAACACTACACTACGCAAGTTACTTATTTTGTCATCTTAACACTACACTACACAAGTTACTTGTTTTGTCATCTTAACACTATACTACGCAAGTTACTTGTTTTGTCATCTTAACACTATACTACGCAAGTTACTTGTTTTGTCATCTTAACACTATACTACGCAAGTTACTTGTTTTGTCATCTTAACACTATACTATGCAAGTTACTTGTTTTGTCATCTTAACACTATACTACGCAAGTTACTTGTTTTGTCATCTTAACACTATACTACACAAGTTACTTCTTAACTTACATATTCTTCTTCCAAGTTCAACAAATGATCTTTACAATCTTCAACATTTTCCTTCATGCCTACGATTACCACCAGGTTAGGATTAGAGTCTGTAGTGCGAGCGAATTGGAGATCTACATCAAATTCGTCCATAATCTTCTTTCTCATGCGCCCTCTGGTGCCAATAAGTCGAGAGTGAACACGAGAGTCAATTGTCACTTCTTCTGTAACCATCTCTTCCTACGATAATTAAGAACAACATTCATCCAAGCCATTTGTGTTAATAGGTATATATTAATACAGAGAAATGGATATCAGTTTGGTACCGTATAGTCCCACAGAAGTAATTCAAACTTAACACCAGACACTTAGATTACAGACTTCTTTTTTGTGACATACAGTTCTCCAACATCAGCTTTTGTATATCGTGTATAATTTTTATTGCGAGGAAAAGATGTTCAAATAAATTGAACTGTAAACTTACCAAATCAAGAGTGAAAAAGAACAGATATGAGGTTTCGATAATTCTTCACCCTAAAATTACTGATGAAATCTAGATGGACCCTCCCCCATCAACCTTTTCAATGCATATTTCGTTAAAATAAATAAATACTTGTACCAAATTCCTTAAGAGACTACAGCTTTAATAGTCACGGGGTCCCTAATAAATATAAATCTCAGAATTTAAACAAAACATCATCAATATTGCAAATGATCCCCTTTATTTCTCCTGGGATTCTCTATGTATTTTCCATAGGAAATGAATTATTTCACCCAATTTTTAATTTATTTTGTTCAGTTTTTACACCGAGTATTGTGACAGGCTAAAATATATCTTACTCAATCTGATGTAATATGTGAACCCCACAAGTATTGAATGGTATAAAAACAAGATGGTAACTGGATAATTTACATCAATAAAGAGAAACTTATCTCCATTAAAATCCAATAACTTTATTAAAAAAAGGAGCTGTCAGCCATTTTGTCTTTCCATCAGCTATGACTGAGGATCCGTCAATCACTTTGTTGTTCCATCAGCTATGTCAGAGGATCCGTCAATCATTTTGTTGTTCCATCAGCTATGTCTGAGGATCCGTCAATCATTCTGTTGTTCCGTCAGCTATGCCAGAGGATCCGTCAATCATTTTGTTGTTCCGTCAGCTAAGCCAGAGGATCTGACAGCCATTGTGTCTTTCCGTCAGCTATGTCAGAGGATCCGTCAATCATTTTGTTGTTCCATCAGCTATGTCTGAGGATCCGTGAATCATTCTGTTGTTCCGTCAGCTAAGCCAGAGGACCCGTCAATCATTCTGTCTTTCCATCAGCTAAGCCAGAGGATCTGTCAGCCATTTTGTCTTTCCATCAGCTAAGCCAGAGGATCTGTCAGCCATTTTGTCTTTCCATCAGCTAAGCCAGAGGATCTGTCAGCCATTTTGTCTTTCCATAAACTATATAACAGTCATTTTGTCTTTCCATAAACTATATAACAGTCATTTTGTCTTTCCATCAAATAGACATGTAAGCCACTGTCTTTCCATGAACTAAAAAATCTGTAGGCAACTAAAATTTAGTCTTTCCATCAGCTAAGCTAAAGGATTTGACAGCCAAAATTTTGTTTTTCCACCTATTAAAATAAAGAATTCTTAGTATTTTGTCTTTCCATCACCTTAAGGATCTGTTAATTATTGTCCTTCTATGAGTTAAAAGATCTTTCAGCTATTGTCCTTCTACGAGCTACAAGATCTTTCAGAATTGTCCTTCTACGAGCTACAAGATCTTTCAGCAATTGTCCTTCTACGAGCTAAAAGATCTTTCAGCTATTGTCCTTCTACGAGCTAAAAGATCTTTCAGCTATTGTCCTTCTACGAGCTAAAAGATCTTTCAGCTATTGTCCTACTATTAGTTAC